AAGAAGTCATCGAAAATTGGACGTCCAGATTGGACTACATCCGCACCAGCCGTGGCTGTTATATGCCAGAAATCATATTTAAAATGTAATGCCACAAGATTATCTTTCGGATAAATAAAATTCACGTCAATCGAATAATCCATCGAGAGACGTTAGAGTATAAAGTATTTTATTAAATAATTTAACTGTGTTGTAGATAAAAGATCTCTCGAAAGTTACCGAAGTGTGTCTAGGAATCTTAAACAATCCTATCACACAAGTACGACGCAGATGCCTCCGAAATTATTTTTAAATCTAAATTTTATTAGCGGGATTTAAAGCTTCACTGGCAACAAAAGATAAATATAACTGAGTATCATCGGAGCATTGATTGAGAAAAATAGAGAAGTCAACTCGATAAACTGAGAACAGAATAGGTCCCAGAATACTCCCCTGGGGAACATCCCTCTCCAAAGCAATGGCATCTGAATGAGTATTTCCTGTAACTACTCTTCGGTATCTCTGACCAAGAAAATTTTTAAAAAATGATAGAGTACAGTACCTTTTATCCCGAAGAATTCCAGGCTAGCTAGGAGAAGGAAGTGATCCAAGGTGTCGAATGCTATAGTCCAAGAGTATGAGACAAGAGTTTAATTTATAATCCGCTGCTCTCAATAAATAATCAGTAACATGAAGCAAGGCAGAAGTAGTGCTAAGAAGAGGTCGAAAAGCCGATTGAGTGTCTTGGGTTTTGTTATCGCATAGGAACTGAACTTGTTTAACTGTAATAACGGAGGTGAGCACATGCAGTTTTAATTAATATAAGAGTACCAAATTCATTTGGGTGCCTTTTTGAAATAGAATAACTTCTAATTTGGGAATATTTTTTGTCTACGCTGCTTGGATGGAAGAGAAAGAAAAGCTGATGAGATTGCTGCGTCAAGCCTTGTGATCTACCTCCTCTTTTTTTGCGGGAAGAAAGCAGAAGGTGATCTTGAACGGGGTCGAGTCTGCTTGCCTAGATATAAGAAGTGGAAAACCAGAGGGCTTGATTTTAGCTCCTGTTTCGAGTATCATTTTCGCAACAAAATTATTAAATTTCGTCGAGTACTGTAAAATACAGTCATATATTGAAGACAAGCAGCTGCACCGTGTTTTTGATCCCTCTCGCTTACATCTTGAATGGCACAATATCAACAGTGACCTTGAAGGAATTGACAGAATTTCCAAAAATCATGGTAATGTTTTTCGGCTGTCCGGTGGATGTTAAGCGTTTTACTTCTGAAGAATTCATAATAATAGGCAATACTATTATGCCATTAGAAAACGAATCAAAAAAATTGGGGTTACTTTTATACACAAAACTTCGCTTTGAAAAACATATCTCAGCTGTACACAAAGGGCTATTGGTTGTCTAAAAGGTTTTTACAGCTCAAGGAATTTTCGATGACAGCTAACTCTTCTCAACGTACTAAGAAAATTAAAAAATGCTGCCTGAAGTTTATTTACGGCATCCGTCGTGGAAAGCGCGTCCGCCACAAGCTGAAGGATGAAGGTTGAACCAATATAAAGATGTGGCTTTTTGAAAGAAACTTCCACAGGCTACTGTAATGCTTTTTACAAAACTTCTGGATTCCTCCTGCGTCGGTTTTTGCTTAGTCTAAATTGCTGACGTTTCGTCATTTATCCTGATGGCTTCTTCGGAGCGTAACTGAAGGAGCTTCAGTGCCTTCGATGCCGTAGAATTTGCAAAGATAAAATTAGATAGACTAGGGATAACAGTGGCATAGTATAATTAGTTATAATATATGTCGGCTCCCTTAGCTTTAAGCTCTATCATATTTTGTTTGTTTATTTTTGACTTGAATTATTCTGTCATTCGTACCATTGTGGACCTTCGTATTTTCCGAAGTGAATGGAACTCGATTTCGGTTATTTTTTACGATTTCCGACATCAGAAGTGGGATCAGGACATTTCGGTAACATTCGGACAGTGAAAGTGACTATAATGACCGCGATTAGTGCAGAGCTAAATAGATGCGATGTGGATTTATGGGTTCTAGAAAGAAGAAGAAAAAGACAATTGGGATGCAGTTCTAATCATTCTCTGCAAATTCAGTAGATTTATTGAAGTCATGACTAATATTTTGTCACTTTTTTACTATGTTGACTATGGTGACCAGGCTCTATTTCCTTCCGGTTGTCAAATTGGACTGAAGCGCTAATCTTTGTCGTCACCCTGGTCCTTTGAAGCTTCAATGTGGTGAGATCTTTCTTTTTTAAATTGTAAATATGATGGGCAATGCCTGAACACTGAACTTCGCGCAAATTTTATTTTTTATGGATGACCGACTTTATGATAAGCGATAATATATTAGAACAAATAATTAATCAAATTGCGTATTGGTTTAAATGATCAATGCTTTAATTGGGAATAAAATGTCCTAGTTTGGAAAAAAAAAATGTCCATTTTAGTCACACGAATAAACAATTTTCGTACTTATTAATGTAAACTCGGTTAGCTAGGAAATTTGCTTAAAAGTGTGGCAGCACATAAATACTAAAACTGAACTGAAAGTTGTGAAGAAAATTCGGAAAAAGCTACTATAAACTCCTTTTCAGTCGGCGATTTCGTATATTTTAAAACAAGTGAATGAATAATTTTCAAATCTGATCGTACATCTCGAGGTCCATTTAAAATTACCACAGTTTTAAAAAAATGGTTGTTGTCAAATTATTATACACTGCTGTAAGTGCAAAAGTAAGTTTTTCGAATTTGCTTATGACCAGCTTATTCGTGTGCCTGATGAGCAAGGTAGAGTCGAATTAGAACCTGAAAATGAGTAATCGAATGGGCCTGTGTCGGCGAATTCTTAAAAGAAAAAGTTAATATTTCGATAGACGAAATTCACTCCATCTTGCAAAACTAAGTCAAAATAATTTAGGCTTATTTATTTTTATATTAGTTATTGCATTGCAGCAATTTGATTTGTTTGACGGAGCAAAAATTGGTGGCATAGATTTGTGTTATTTTACTTATCAGGGTCTATGTGGTGGAGGCATGTGTTTGCCTAGTTTTGTTTACCCAGTAAGTTACTGGAGATGTGTTATTGCCTGGTTGTTTTACACGAAGGTAAACGGTAAGACCAGATGTGACGTGTGTCGTCGGTGTGATTGTTGCGATAAGCATTGCTTGATTGGAGAGGGATGTGTCGCCGAAGGTAGTTATCCCGATAAGCATTGAGTTATTACACGGGCGTGTGTCGCCAAAGCTAGTTTGGTTTATCCAGTAAGAGAAATCTTATTGAAGGTGAGTTGTTATCTGGTTAGGTTTACATGAAGGTGACTAGATGAGGCGTGTGTCGCCGGAGTGCATTGCTTTATTGGAAAGGTGTGTGTCGCCGAAGGTGAAGATCCCGATCAGCATTGCGTTTGTGGAGGGGCATGTGGTGGCCAAGGTGATTTTTTCGATAAGCATTGCTTGCTTACAGAGGCGTGTGTCGCCGAAGGTGATTATCCCGACAAGCATTGCGTTATTAAAGTGACGTGTATCACCAAAGGTTGATACATATTCTAGTAAGCATTATTTCATTGGATGATGGTGGTGAAACCGAATTGCAATGTTCTTGATAGGTGACGCTTTACCAAATGATATTACATTGCAAGTTGCAAGTAAGTTGATTTTGATACTTTTATGGGGTGAATTTAGAGAAGCTGACAGAGTTTTTGTAATCCAGAAGCGAATAGTAAGATTGATTTATAATATTCTCTATAGAGGCATTTTTAAGACACAAAGAATTTTAACTGTGGCTTAAGTTTCTATTTTACATTTGTTTACTTCCATTTTTCAAAATTAAATTAAACTAGAATTACTAGCCAACCGTCACTTATACAACATTCGAAGCAGGAACAACATACTATTAAATAAATATCACCATTAATTTTCCAAGAAATTTGATTTTTATTTCGGTAGTTGCTTATTTAACCTACTACCAAATAAATTAAAATTGTATGAATCAAGTAAGATATGAAGCAACTACTTTCTGCACACTCAACGAGTTGGAATATTGTTAAGTGGAAAGTCACTCTTTCTTGTTTGATTTTAATCTGTTTCTCTTCTTTGTTTTATTAATAATTCTGGTATGTTCTTGTTTATTCATGTTGTTTTATATACCGATCTCATTTTCATTTCAATTAGACGACTTTCTTATCGGTTATTTTCATAGCTACTACATTTTTTTGTAATATACCGTTTTATTGTCCTAGACTTTGACGATGCAGCTACTTGCTGTTATCCGTATATTAAAAAAATATTATTGTACGTCCAAATGACATTTTTTATACTATATTCTCAAACGACATTTTTTATGCTATCTTCTTTTAGTTCACTCAAGACAATAAATGTATTGAGTATAAAACATGCTTTTGGACAATTGTCAACTATTATACTCAACTTGCTCAGTTTTTCTACATCTTGAAGGTTAGCACAATTCGACTTTAATGAACACCATAGTTTTAAATTATTTTGGTCAACTTGTGGATGTGATAATTTTTTTTTATACGGTGGTTTGATGGGATGAGTTTGCTTGGTAAGACCTAGTCTTAACCTAACCTACTAACTTAACTTTCTCCTGTTTTCGCAAGGATTTCTTTGCAAAGAAAAGCGGATAATACAATATAGTATATAGCAGTGGGTTGGCACATCTTATGGATGTACGCTGTCTAAATCAGGAGGTCTAAGTAGGTGGTTGACTAGTGTGTCCTACTTGTTTAAAATCCAATGATATGTTAATTTCTTGTTTGCTTTTGCATCATTGGCAGTCTTCCAGTTCGCCGACTATTGGTTTAGGTAATCTATTTCCAAAATATATTGACACCCTCTATGTGTTGCAATTTTTATGTCACATAGCATAAGATGCGCAAAACAAAAGCATTTTCAACATAATTACGTCTTTAAAACATACGAATGGCCTTTAAATACGGTTCTTCATTTCCTTTTCCCGTGAAAAGTAGTAACTTACCTTTTTTCGACGTCCTAAAGCTGTCGTCCCTCGGTACGTACTGAATGTCATAAACCAGCGTCGTGTTCGGTAAAAGTTCCCGCTCCTTGTTGATTTTATAGACCGCATATTTGAACGCCAGCTCCGAACTGCTATTTTTCTGATCCTCTGTAAAAATAGCGCCTGCAAATAAAAAGACGTATATTAATGAAAACCCGGTGGTATGCTCGCTATTTAATACGCTATTAAATACTATTTAAGACGCAACGAAATAGTCCCAGAGGAAAAACAAAATCGTCTCATATCAGAAAAACGCCCAATCCAAGGTTTTGGATAATATCAAAATTCTTCTTGAAAACAGATCTACAATAATATAAAAACGGATGAAATTATTTGTCATATTTTAATTAATCATTTGATATAAATCTATTTTTAACAAATAAGCGTAGGAAAATAGAAGTAAAAAAGTAGACCGCTATAATGCTATTTATTGCGAAAAACCCGCAATACAAAATCACTTAGTAGTAGGGCGTTTGATATGGTTAATCATGACCTTTTAGTCTCTATATTAAGATCAAGGCCTGCTGAAATTATTTGTGTCTGATCGAACTCAGCAAGCGGTTAATTAGCCTTCAAATATCATCGACATTAAATCCCGAATACCCCAAGGTAGTATGATGCGACCCCTATTGTACAGTATTTATACCTTGTCAATTTGATCAGTCACTTAAATATCTGAAATATCATCTATATCACCTTTTGATGACAGTAACTAACAACGAATTATTAGTTGTATTAAATTCGATATAACTTTTACAATGGTTCCAATGATCACTTACAAAGTCCTCTGTTATGAAGTCGGTACGATTTGCGATGGCATAGTCATAAAACTAAGAAAGATGGGGTTTCAGAATTTCACCGTCTTTCAGATAATGGTCTAAAATGTGAGTTGTTAAAAATTGTCAAAAATTATAAAATAGAATTGCAGTAAAAATTGTCAAAAATTATAACATTAAATTAAATTTACGACAAAAGGGTCTAATTATGGTATCGCAACAAAAAAAAAACTTAGATCTTATTCTTATAAAATTGTTACTATTAACTCACTGAATTTGTTTAGTTTCGACGACCCCACAAAATAAAATAATTTTGGTTGACACCCATTTTTGTTAGTGCTTTTTGCTCTCTTTATTTAGAATTATATATAACTTAGTCTCGCCATCTGATTGTATTCTACAAATATTGACGCTTAAACAGTATCTGGGGAATTCTCAGATAACTGACTGATTATATTATATTATGATATGATTATATTATTATTATTATTATTATTAGAAACTAATCAAACACATATATTAAAATTTTCATGGCGAATCCATAGTTCACATAAACAAAGGAATACTAGCATGGAAAGTGTATGAATCATCCACTGCCCAAATTTTACGAAGGGAGAAAAATTGATGCCCTGTTACAGGAAACGATACAAGAAATAATTGGCAGAGACATTGCACCGCTACGGCAAAAACTGTACGAAGCAATATACTCAAATTAAGTTTCATTTTAGCTTCTTCGCTAGATAAAAATGAAATATGGCCCTTTCTTAGAGACGTTATGTGTGATAAATGTTTTTCATACGTGCCTCCCCTGCAAAAAATGGCTCCGTGGCATTATTTCCTCAAATTTCCCAGTTCATTTTCGCGCCTCATCGGTTTGCTTTGCTTCTAATATTAAAGGTAAAGCCAATTTCTGAGAAAAGATTGGAATTTGTTATTCGATCTCCGATAATGTCCGGGTATCGCTCGAGCTAGCAGATTCTTTGAATTTTACCTCTATATTATTCGAGAATTTGTGTCATGGATACAGTTAACCCAGTTACGCCTAAATATAATATTTTCATGTCGTATTTCCCAATTACTTAACTGTGGTAAACAAATAACAATTTTGGGGATACTATTTACGAATTATCTGAATTCTTCCTGCGTCGGTTGTTGTTGAATCGAACTTGCGAACGTTTCGCTAATCATGCTGTTGGTTTCTTCAGAGCTTAACTGAAATTGGCTCGTATTCTACTCTTTACCTGCTCACATATTGTTTGAAGGGGGCGGAGCGAAAGGACGGGCACGAACATTGTCTCAGATGACTGATTCCCATAAGACAGGTGACAGCTAAAGACTTTACACGGGGTTAAGACTGTTTGGTTGCTTGGATTATATAGATTCTCCGATTTTTCGTTTATTAATTTTGATGACTTTTTATGTCCGCTTTCGTGATTGTGTTCGGAAACTGCTGAAGAGTTTATTGGTCTCAGAGGTAAGGTTTTTCAATGTTCTTAGTTAATATTTTTCATCCAGTCTCTTCAATATATCCCCACATTTGTTTCTGTTGTCCTTCCTTACATTCAAAACATCACTCACCACATATTAAAAATTCTTAATAAATAAAACGCACCTGTCCTAAAAATCTCTCAACATCTTCAATCCGTCACAGACAAAATTCCGTTTGAGACATATGCGGCAAAGAATACAATGAAGATATCGAACGAAAAATATGAACTCATAGACCATAAAAAAAGCCTTAAGACTAAGACAAATAAACTCATCAGCAGTTCATGTCCCTCATTTAACTCCGCACCCCAGAAACAATATATAAGCAGGTACAGAGTAGAATGCGAGTCAGATTCAGTTAAGCTCTGAAGAAGTCAACAGGATGATTGGCGAAACAACCGAAGCAGAAGGAATCCAGAAATTTTCTAGTATTACAGCAGCCTGCGGAAGTTTCATTGAAAAATTAACAATTTTGGAAATAACTACACTATACCGGGTATCTCCGTGAGGGAAACAAGAGAGTATTGAAAAAAAACAGATAAAATTTGAAAATTCGTTTCCTGCAAAATTTTCTTATACTAATGTTACTTAGAGTGGAAACCGACACAACTTGATTTTTTTTTTGTGAGATGCTTTTTACTCTATCTCTAAGCGAAAAATGGTTAATGGATTTTAGTAAACTTGTCCTTTTCCTGGGCTATCAAAACGTGTTATGAGTGAGATGATTGCAATTGAGTACCATAAGGCATTTCCTGAAATAGCCGATAAACAATAATTTTTTGAAAAAGAGTTCAATGCAACGATACAATTCTTTTAGGTAGTTAGATAGTCAAACAAGAGAACAACAACCCAGCGAAACCCGCATCCTAATATCCTTAACATAATACAAAATATGAATAAAAGAATTCAAAACTTAAAAAAAAAATAATTTTGGTAAGCATGTCTACTTTATGGGTTATTACTGCAATAAGAGTTCGTTGTTTATCTTAGTTTATAATGGGTGTCTTTTTTTCGATTTATAGAACTTTACATTACTGTTCAAGATGGCGACCGATTTAACAGCTGTCAAGTGATTTGTTCTCAGTTTGGTTTGGTAATTCATCATGAATAGACTCACGCCCGAACAACGCTTGCAAATAGTGCAATTTTATTTCAAAAATAATGGTTCTGTGCGGAGTACGTATCGCGCACTACGTCCATTTTATCGTCGACAAAATCGTCCATCAGAGCAGTTAATTCGATTAACCATGGAACGTTTTCGCACCACGTTTACTCTTATTGATAACTCGCATCCCCAGAGACGCCGTACGGTGCGTACAGAAGAAGCTATTGCTGCTGTAGAGCGTAGCATTGAGGAAGACCCGAATGAGTCCGTCTGCCATCGAGCACAGGAATTGGATCTGTGTCCATCCACTTTATGGAAGCTTTTGCGGAAGGATCTTGGTTTACGTGCTTACAAAATCGAACTCGTGCAAGAATTGAAGGCAAACGATCATCAAGTAAGACGTAGATTCGTCGAATTGGCCCAAAACGAGATTGCCGTTGTTCCCGATTTTCATACGCGAATTTTGTTTAGCGATGAAGCGCACTTCTGGTTGAATGGCTACGTCAACAAACAAAACTGCCGCATTTGCCGCAGCATTACATCCAGAAAAACTGACTGTTTGGTGCGCTTTATGGGCTGGTGGAATTATTGGTCCGTACTTCTTCAAAAACGATGATGGCCAGAACGTTACAGTCAATGGTGATCGGTATAGAGCTATGATTACTAACTCTTTCATTCCTGAATTGAATAACCATGATGTCCAGGAGACGTGGTTTCAACAAGACGGCGTAACATGTCACACAGCTCGTGCCACAATCAATTTAATGAAAGACACGTTTGGTGACCGCCTAATTTCACGTTTTGGACCTTTGAATTGGTCTGCAAGATCTTGTGATTTAACACCTCTAGACTACTTTCTGTGGGGCTATGTAAAGTCATTGGTCTATGCGGATAAGCCACAAACGCTTGACCATTTGGAAGACAACATTCGCCGTGTTATTGCCGATATACGGCCACAAATGTTGGAAAGAGTCATCGAAAATTGGACGTCCAGATTGGACTACATCCGCGCCAGCCGTAACGGCCATATGCCAGATATCATATTTAAAATGTAATTCGGATAAATAAAATTCATGTCAATCGAATAATCCATCGTTGTTTTATTGCAACTTAAAGCTCTTTACATCGTTCTATACCTTATTAGTTTTTTTTACAGTACCATATATATTGTGTAATATCACTTTTTTTATATACAAAATTACCTCATTAATACTGTGAAAGACTAAGTTTATTAATTACTGACGTGTGAAGTGGTAAGCAGATATTGTTTATCACACTCGCCCTACTACTCCTGAACATATGATTGATCATACCCGTAATGCTGTTGCCAATATTTCAAGAGCTGAAATTAGTATATTGTGTAATATCACTTTTTTTATATACAAAATTACCTCATTAATACTGTCAAAGACTAAGTTTATTAATTACTGACGTTTGAAGTGGTAAGCAGATATTGTTTATCACACTCGAACTACTACCCCTGAACATATGATTGATCGTACCCGTAATGCTGTTGCCAATATTTCAAGAGTTGAAATTAGTACGCCACAGCTTCCCCTTCATGAATTGAAAACTTCCTCTCGAATACACCACTTTCTGTTTAATACAATTTTGCAGGACACTGTAAAATTTGAACTCTGACATATCTTTTATGTTTCCATGCAAATGCAAATTTGGGTATAATTTCGGTTTCTTTGACTGAATACACTGGTTTTTCAAACTCGTAACTTTAGCATAAATAATAGAACCGCTAT